TTGGATCCAACGAGGTTGACTTCGGTAACCACAGCCGCTAGGATGATGTCTTCATCCTTTTGCCCACCTTGCACCAAGTTGACTTGGGAGTCTTTCTTCTTCCGTGGTGCCTTGCAATCCGAGGACTTGTGTCCATTCTTGTTGCAATTGAAGCATTTTCCATTAAATTTGGGTTTGGAAACGCCTCCCTTGGGACCGAGCTTGCTCTTCCCATTATTTTTATTTTTGGAGCCTTTTGCATGCTCCACCACATTGGCCTTGGCGCCGCTAACGATTGGGAGTCTCCCATCGTTCTTCCGATTATCCTCTTCAATCCGCAAACGGAGGATCAATTGTTCCAAGTTCATTTCCTTTCGCTTATGCTTAAGGTAGTTCTTGAAATCCTTCCAAGCCGGCGGCAATAAATGGATAATTGACGCCACTTGGAAAGACTCGCTAACCGTCATTCCTTCATCTCGAATTTCGTTGAAGATCATTTGCATTTCTTCAACTTGACTCAAGACCGTCTTCGAATCCACCATTTTAAAATCAAGGAATCGACCGACAACAAATTTCTTTGCACCGGCATCCTCGCTCTTATATTTGTGGTCCAAAGCATTCCATAGCTCCTTAGCCGTAGCTAATTTACTATACATGTCGTACAAAGCATCATGCAGCCCGTTCAACACGTAGTTTCGGCAAAGGAAGTCCGAATGCTTCCAAGCCTCAACCACGTTGAAAGATTGCGCATCCACCTCACCCCCGGTTACTACCGGCGCATCCTCGGTCAAGAAACGTGCAAGACCGAGAGTAGTGAGATAGAAGAGCATCTTTTGCTGCCACCTCTTGAAGTTTAACCCATTAAATTTTCCGGGTTTCTCCACAGAGTTGCTCGGCACGGTCACCATAGGGATAGCCCTTTGGTTAACCAAAGCAGATGCACCGCGTTGTGAACTATTGTTCACCGGAGCTCCGCTTTCAGAGTGATTATCGTTCAAACCGTTCAAAGCATTCTGCCCAACAACATTTTCATTTTCTTGAGAAGTCATTTTTTGTTTCTTACGTTATTAGAAAGCACAAAAAATAAGTTCGTTCACCAAGGTGACAAAGTACAAGTTTTAAGATTGTTTACCGTAGTAGAACAATCACCGAATACGTTTTAAGACTGTTGGGTGTGTTTCGAAAAACAAAGAAAATTAATTAATAAAGATTAATTAAATAAAATGACTTAAAGAAAAAACAAGAAATGAGATGAAGCAGAATAAGCCAAAGCTCGTGCTACGCACGATTTCCTTAAAACGTATTCGTTGCCTCCCGGGGTGCTAGGAGCGTTGCAACGATCGTTTCCCGGGATACGATGACATCGAACAATAGTTTAGCACTCAAACTAAAGTTCCAACGAACGTGAACAAAAGCAGAACACTGAAGGAGTTTGTATGGAGTGCTAGAGGTGCTGTTTTAGCTATGAAAATACGTGAACGAAGTGTATGAAAGGTTGTGTCTTTGCAAAGCACCTACTAGCCTTTTATAGGAGTGGATTAAGGTGTGTTAATGGCTGTTTAAGAGTTATGATCGTTGGACATCAATGTCCTAAACGTTGGGCATTAACGTTATCTTTAGAAGATAGATTTTCGGACGGCATTCGTGTGTGCAGGTCGCCCGCACACGCAAGTCGCGGTTTTTGTTCTTCGGTTTCGGGATTTGATTCGCACCCCCCTGCGCGCGTGAGAGAGCCTTTCCCTTTAGGAATCTTAACTCCTTAGGGGGGTTTCCCTTTATAAAGGGTTCAAATTCCCTTGTGATTTTCGGTGTGGGAAAGAACCCACACTAAAACACACATTTTCCTAGTTTTCTCCATTCCAACGGGTAAACTTCGAAAAACAATTTCTCATTCACCCGTTATTCGTTTTGAGTGTACCATATATCGAATTGTAGCCCTTAACAAGGACAATCCGAAACCACTTTGACCCGACCCAAATCGGAAGTGGACCCACTCAAATAATTGCCCCAAAATGACCATTTAATGCAATTGTTAACACATTTTTCCAACAACTTTTGCTGAAATCATTGTCCACACTTCTCATATTACATAACAACACATTCATTTTTAAAACCTAATTACGTTGTCATGTAATTTGTTACCTAAACTGGTGTGAACTCTTTTAAACTTCTCATCAAAACCCATCATGTTTTGAAATATAATTTTTGAAAAGTTACTTTGAATTGCTTTGAAAGTGTTTTACCTCCAATGATCCATCTAAATATGTCACCGAATTTCTTCTTAAGTGAAACTTAAGTTCGGTGCTAGACAAAGCTCTCCATCTGTTAACTGTACTTTTTTAAAAAAATAAAAAATGTGGCTAATTGCTATAAATAATTAAGTATAGGATACACAAAAAATGAAACAACATTTACCCACACTGGATCCAAAAACAAAGCTTTTCTTAATCCAAATCCTTGTAGATTTAGTAAACTTAAGCATAATTTAGTATTGAATCAGTCAACATGTTTCATTAATATCTTGAAGTAGCTACAAATCAGTTGTGAGATACGTAGTATAACGTTAATATTATATAGGGATAATATTTCTTCTTGTAGGCTCAAACTTCATTTGAAATTAGGTTGCTAGTATTTATAGGGAAAAAGGATAATCTTTCCTAAAGAAGATTCACGTGTCCCAATGACAGGCCGAAAAGAGTTTATGGACTGAATTTTTCCTTTTTTTTTCAGGTTTTAGTACAAGTACTTCAAAACACAGGCTGGCGGTTCATTGATCTTGGCTATTTTTCCTACTGATGTGCTACTAAAGTTGATCTGGTCTTATTAAATATATAGACCATGATTCCAAATTGATAAATACATGCTTGACTTTCGAACAGGTACAATTAACAAAGATTTTTACTATACAAACTACTTTGAAAATTTGGTAGAAGATAATATTTGCAAACTCATATTTTTTTAACTCAATTTGAATTGTTCTGGTAATTTCTCTTTGATTAGGCGCTATTCCATCGGTCTCTTCACATTATTGGGAACTGTTTTTACTTAATCAAGCCCGATTAAAACCTTACTTAGAAGTTGTATTGTACTCTTTTCATAAATTATTTTCAATAAATTCCCTTTTAGAATCTTCATTTTGCAAAAACTTTACTCAAAATAGTTTTGAACCTAATTTTGAACAATTGTATTTTTACTTGGAAATCTGTTTTAAAGATGTTTAATACAGTGCAAGAAAATCTGTTACTTTTGCTGAAATCATTGTCCACACTTCTCATATTACATAACAACACATTCTTTTTTTAAAACCTAATTATGTTGTAATGTAATTTGTTACCTAAGTTGGTGTGAACTCTTTTGAACTTGTCATCTAAACACATCCTGTTTTGAAATATAATTTTTGAAAAGTTACTTTGGATTGCTTTGAAAGTGTCTTACCTCCAATGAGCCATCTAAATATGTCACTAAATTTCTTCTTAAATGAAACTTAAGTTCAGTGCTAGACAAAGCTCTCCATCTGTTAACTGTACTTTTCTTTAAAAAATAAAAAATGTGGCTAATTGCTACAAATAATCAAGTATATGATACGCAAAAATGAAACAACATTTACCCACACCGGATCAAAAAACACAGCTTTTCTTAATCCAAATCCTTGTAGATTTAGTAAGCTTAAGCTTAATTTAGTGTTGAATCAGTCAACATGTTTCATCATTATCTTGAAGTAGCTACAAATCAGTTGTGAGATACGTAGTATAACGTTAATATTGTTCAGCAAGTATTGCAAATAATTTAACTAATACAATGCAAATATATATAGGGATAATCCTTGCTTTCATTGAGCCTGAAACAAAATTCCTTCATTGAATTGGTACAGATAGAAATGAGTTCAGAACTGAACCTTTCTCCTTGGTTTGCATGAACTACAAATATTCATCTAGGTTTAGCGGTTGAGAAGCTCATTGTTGTGTAGATGCATGTTTCTTTGTTTGCTACTCTGTATGACAGGTTCAAGAAACTAAACCATATACAGGCTTTTTCTTCATTTCCTTGAACTTTTAAAATTGTATTCCCATTTGCTTTTATCTTTTCTGTAATTTAAATTACTATAATATGCATTGTAATCAACAAACAAACATATGCGGAATAGAGAGGGATTATAGTATTTGCTTATTGCATGTTCAAAGATAAAGAGGAGGTAGAAGAATTGAAGGGTTCCATTCAAAATGAGGTTGCTAGTACTCCCTATTTATAGGGAAAATGAATGATACTTCTTAGAGAAGATTCACATGTCCCAAGGACATGTTGGCTGGAGTTGATGGGCATATGTTTTTGTTATTTATTTTATATTACGTATATTTCAATGGCCCAAATGGAGAACAATTTATAAAAATATTTGATGTGAACACATCCCCCAAGACATAGGCTGGCGGGATTTGATTGTTGTTGTTATTTTTTGCACGCTTAAAGTGCTACAGTACATAAAGTGCCTAAAGTGTAATGTGTTGCACTGTTTTCGTTACGGTAGATATTGTACAACTTTTTCACTCTTTATTAATGTCATTTCCAGCAGATGCCCAGCCGCCAAAACAGATGGAGATGCCTTTTCAATCAAGAAACAGTGCACTTGTACACGCCTTTTTGTTTTTTTTGACAACACACCTTTTTGTTAATATCTGATTGTTTATTACGGCTGCACTTTTCCAAATGTAATAATTCATTTATGTCGCTCAAATTTACCCTTCAAAGGGCTATTTATGTAATTTCTCAATCAAAGGACTCTTGCCTTAGGAATATGGGCGGGAACACTATTGAAAAACAGTGTTTTCAAAGATTTTGCTTTTATATAATAGAAGATTAAAAAAGTTAATATATTGGAAATTTACATTAATACAAATTTGTTAATATTTTATACATAATATTTTTATTATATATTATTAGAAAATCGTAATCAAAGTAAGGTGTGTGAATAATTCAGAAATTTCAATGTTTCTGACTTCTATGAAACTATCTTGAATTTGTACATCTTTACCCGCACCCAACAGAGGCTGCAGGGTCGAGCTCAGCCTCTTCGTCTTCATCCAGCAACAGATCATCCTCCAGAGTCCAGACACCTCAAAACCAGCTGTCGTATTAATCGGTCAATTTCTCCATGCTGCCTGCACCCTCCGCCGCCGAGGAGTCCCCGTCCCCGTCGTGGAGCGCCCTGATCGACTGAGAAAAAGCTCCCCCTCTCTCCAGTGCCTTCCTCTGTGACGTTTGCTCTCCTGATCCCCCTTCGTTCTCCATTCGGCCGCTGCTCTTGCCGCACAACATCGGCGGAGGTCTCAAACCCTACTCTGAGGGAAGGCCGCTTCTCTTAAACCACAAGATTTAGAAATAATATAATAAGTCATTTTTTCGAATCTGTTATTCGCGTCTCGATTAACGATTTTAGCCAGGTCATGAATGCATCATCCTTCTCTAGTCCATCAACTCCGGCATTGTGCAAGAAGCGGATCTGCTTTGCAAGGCAAGAAGCTCCACGCCCGGATACTAAAGACCGGCCTGGACAAGTGTTCTTCCCCATGTTTTCCCAATGGTCTCATTGATGTGTATGGGAAATGTCTCCTACTCAAAGACGCCTGTCAGGTGTTCGATGGAATGTGCCAAAGGGACTTAGCTTCATGGGCATCTATCTTCACCGCCCACAACCTTTCTTGCCTTCCTTTATCCACACTATCAATCTTCCCAAACATGTCACTCCTCGACGGCATTCAACCTGATCATTTTGTTTTTGCCAGCCTGGTTAAGGCTTGTGCTGACCTCACTGCTCTCAGAATAGGGAAACAAGTGCACGGGCAGTTCATCGTATCACGATTTTCCCACGATGATGTTGTGAAGTCTTCCCTTGTTGACATGTACAATAAGTGTGAGGCCATTGATCACGCCCGAGCCGTTTTTGACTCAATTTCTCACAAGAATCCTATTTCGTCAGCTGCTATGATATCTGGGTATGCACGAAATGGGATGTGGTATGAAGCTGAGGAACTTTTTCGCTCCTCTCCTGTGAAGACTATATCCACTTGGACTGCTTTGATATGTGGAATGGTACAAAGCTGTGATTTTTTCAAGGCATATAGTCTTTTTACTGAAATGAGAAAAGAAGGTGTTGATATTTCAGATCCATATATCCTATCCAGTTTAATTGCAGCTTCTTCTAGTCTGGCAGACTTGGATCTTGGTAAACAGATCCATTGCTTGGTCATTGTTTTTGGTTATGAGTCGAGTTTGTTCGTCAGTAACACACTTGTGGATATGTATTCCAAGTGTTCAGATGTATTGACATCGAAATTCATATTTGATCATATGGAGAAGCGGGACATTGTCTCTTGGACATCTATAATAGTTGCCATGGCACAACACGGCAAAGCACATGATGCTTTGTCAATGTACGACAATATGGTTTTGGAGGGTTTCAAGCCAAATCAAGTCACTTTCACTGGACTAATATATGCTTGTAGTCACTTTGGCTTGGTTGAGAGAGGTCGCCAGCTTTTCAAGTCCATGACTGAGGATTATGGTTTGAGTCCCTCATTGCAGCATTACACATGTTTGTTAGATCTCTTGAGTAGATCGGGGCATCTGCATGAAGCGGAAGATCTGCTCAACAAGATGCCATTTGAACCTGATGAAGCTGCTTGGGTTGCTCTGCTGAGTGCATGCAAGAGGCATGGAGAGAGTGAGATAGGGATGAGAATTGCTAACCGCATTCTGAGTCTTGGCCCCACTGAAGCTTCTACTTGTGTTTTGCTGTCTACTGTTTATGCTGGGGAGAGCATGTGGGAGAAAGTGTCTAAATTGAGGGAGATTATGGCATGTATGGAGGTTAAGAAAGAGCCGGCTTATAGTTGTGTTGATTTGAGTGGCGAATGATGATATATTAGCTATATGCCACTTAGATGGTAGCTAATCAACAAGATTACCTCTGATTCAACGTTTGTTTGAGATCAACAGTGTCACTGAGCAGCTGAATTTACGATCTCAACATTGTTACTACATGGCAGTAAACTTGTAGAGGGAATGGCGTGGTTTCGGCTGCATAATGCTTCTTACAGCCGACTTGTAGGGGCACAGAAGTCACCTTTTTTCACAGGGAGTGGTTGAGCAGGCAATTTTTGGTGTTTGCATAACTGCTAGAGACAAGCTCTGCCGCTAATCAGAATACTTCCTTGGTAGTTTCAAGCAATGCAGATACACCAACTCAGTGGGAATTTCATTCTGTTTATTACTTCCAGGTTTTTGAACTCTTTCTTAAAATGCTTCTGTTGCAGGTTCCAAGTCTATCGCCTTTTCATTGAAACATAGGATTTTATCATGTTTGTTGTGTGATTAATTGTTGTATACCTTATGTTTTATGTAACAACGCTCAACTTTACAGTGGCATAGTTTAACAATTTGTTTTGTTGGGGTGAAATAAGAAACAGAGGAATGTGAGGGAGAGAAATAGATGAGAAGCGAGAAACTTCTCTTGTTTGGTGATGAGAGAAATGGATTCCGTCACCCTTGCACTTAGTAAAAATGGGAACAACAAATCTCTCAACAACCACTGTGGGGTCAGTTGAGGCCAAGCTTAGATCAACTTGTGGGTCTGGTACTCTAGTTCTTCGACATTGATGGCTTTCTGACCTAAAAATGCTAAATGGGATCCTTGGTGTGGTTTCACCTCTGTCTTCGTACTTCCAGAGTGCCAGAGTGCTAAGTGGTTCATTGAGGCAGGACTTTCAGCTCCGCATGATATTGGTTCAGAATGCATCATTGAAAACGTCACTGTAAGCCTTATGTTTGACAAGAAGCTTTTCCCATTTATCAATTTTGAAAAGTTACTTCAACAAACTAAGATTTGTCCTAAGTAAAAGCTTCTGGATTTGGATAACTTTGAGGAGCGGTATGCTAAAAAAGCCCTATGACAACGCTAAATCTTGATACAAAGTGAAAAGTTGAACACTTAAAGTGCAATAATATAACAAAAAAAAAAGAAATTCTAGCAGCTTTTTAAATTGTAATGCCTGCGAAAGAGCATCTCTATTAGCAGCGGGTTAATGACACAAACAGTGGCTAAATGATACCAGGCCCCAGAGACCAGAGTATGATGGTTGATGACCGGGCATTAGAATAGAGGCCCAGGATACGGTAAGTTACACTCGGCTCGCATTTGGTACAGCTCAAAGTGGTTTTATTCTCTATTACCATTGCTCCCAGTCTCCCATGGTCCCATTAGTTTGCTTTAATCTCTCAGATTTTTTTACATTTGGGGGTGGTGGACCCGCAGGTTACAGGTAATTCTGGTTAGGATACTGTTCAATATTGAGTGGGTTTTAGGTTTGTAAAAAGCTATGGGGTTTTTACTCCAATATTACTACAATGTTACTCCGTCACAAAAAAGTGACCATTTTTCACCCTTCCAAAAAAGTGACCTAATGATTAGGGGTGGACCGGTTCCGGTTCGGGCCCGGTTCGGGCCTGGGCCCAGCCGGGCCTCGGTTCAAGAAGGGGAGGCCCGGAACCGGCCCGGGTAACCCCCGGGTCCGGGCCGGGCCTTGGGTATATTTTTTTTTTTGGGCTTTTCCTAGTTAACCCCCACCCCTCCCCCTCAACCCCAAACCAACCCTAACCACCTCAAATGGCCCAAAATACCCAGCCCAACCCAAAAACTCAAAAAAAATTCAAAAAAATAAAAATAAAATTGGCCCGGCCCGGACCCGAACCGGCCGGGCCGGTTCACCTTTTGAAGGGCCCGAGCCCGAACCGAGAATCCACCGGGCCGGTCCGGGCCCGCACAATGGCGGGCCGGTCCAGTTCCGGGCCGGTTGGCCCGGCCTGAGTCCACCCCTACTAATGATCATCATAATATATGTTACAATTTTAGGTCTATTTCATTTGAGGGTCTTCTGGGTTGAACTTTTGGATGAAATTTTGTGAGCATGTTCTTAATGAAATGTATAAGATCTATATAGAATTTCACAGTGTTGTCAATCTCGGATAACGGAGTATAGTGGTGAGCCCCAAAAACACTATAGTGGTATAACGGATAGCGGGATGACTGCTATTTAGACTACTTTCAAATATAATAGATAAGTAAATACGGGAAGCATGTGCAATACATACATATGTAAAAATACTCTTTGCCTTACTGGAAGTACATCTTTTAACTACTATAAGGTACATCTATTACCTTTAAGGTACATCTAAGGTCTGCAAAGAGACTACTGAAACTAGATGGTTCACCCTAGGGATGGACTCGGGCCGGGTGGCCCGACCCGGAACCGGACCGGGACCGGTACTGTTCTGGCCCGGCCCGACCCGGTGGCCCGGTCAGTGACCGGTCCGGGTAGGCCCGGCCCGTGGGTTTTCCGGTCCGGGCTCGGGTCACCCAAAACAAGGCCCGACCCGGCCGGGCCCGGGCCCGGTTCGGGCCAAAAACTATTTTTTTTTCTTTTTTTTCAATTTTTTTTAAATTTTCGGGTTGGGCTGGGTATTTTGGGCCATTTGGGGTGGTTTGGGGGGTTGGGGGTGGGAGGGGGTTAATTAGGAAGAGGAAAACAAAAAAAAAAATATAACGGGCCCGGCCCGGCCCGGACCCGGTGGTTACCCGGGCCGGTCCCGGGTCCACCATTTTTGACCCGCCGGCCCGCCCGGGCCTAGGCCCGGCCCGGACCCGGCCCGGATCCGAGTCCATCCCTAGTTCACCCACCTAATTACTTAGAAATACTCTTTAGTTTCATGAGCAAAACATAAGATGCTATTAACAATCAAAACATCTTAAATCAAAACATTGACTCAAAAACAAGGTTCTAGTGTAAGAGTTTAAGCCTTTATAAATTAATGTCAAAAAATTTAGATATGACTTGCAAGCCCTTTGAATTCATCATTCACCACTCCTCCTCATCAAATTGTTCTTCTTCTTCCAACTCTATCTCATCTTCATTGCCATTTTCACTACTACTGCAATCATAAAGTACTTCCTCCACATTTGTCTGCTCTGCCGCTTCAACATACTTTATAACTTCTATTGAGCGGCCTCTCCCTCTAGAGCTTGTAGCCCCTCTAGAGGTTGTGCCCCTTTCATTTGTTCTGCTTTGCTGTCTAGTGTTTATCTAAGACTCACACACACCAGTTAGGTCAGCAACATCTCCCCAAGTAAAGTTGGTGTCATCATAAAAAACCAAATCATCCTCGACATCATCTCCATCTCCCCCCATAACTCCCACTAACCACTCATCGCTACCATCAATATCGTTTAGGAGAATTAGATCAATCAAATCATGGCTATCAAATCGCTCCTTAAGATCTTGGTTATATTTAATATAAACCAAATCTTGTAACCTTTGATGCTCAAACCTATTTCTCTTCTTCGAATGAATCTATGTTACAAATTTATATTAAAAAACTATTAGTCCAGATTCCGGTTTGTTGAAAACAGTACACAATATGTTTGTTGATTGAACTTGTAAAACATGTAATAATAAAGTACATGCAAGTAAACATTAAACATTCTATTAGGGTGGGTGATAAAAAAAATTATATGCCTTAACTTACCGGGACCAAGAGTATCTCTGCCTTACTGCCAGCTTCAACCCAAAGAGACCTTCAGTTCTCGCATCAAAAAATCAATTAGGAAGTCAGTTAAACAAATTATTTATTTTCTATCCTAAATTTATGCACATTCAATATAAAATATCAATTTCATAATTACTTTATGTCGCATATAACGATATGGAGAAATGTATTTTATTTTTAATCATGAATATCACATAATTTGAATGTACTCGTAATTTACTTTTTTTAATTATATTTGATAAGTACTGTTTCAATTTCTTAATGTGAAGTTCTCAATGCATATTTTTAAATTCTTCTAATGGTTTAATCTTGATGTTGCTAACAAATGTAAAGTTTCAGTTTGAAAATAAATGAGAAAAGTTTTTTGATTATTGTTTAACTGCTGACATTTATGTTTTTAATAGACCAACATTTTTATCACCTACGATAGTATTTTTTAACTGAATCTGTTATTTTTTATTGGGTATCTTACAAGGAACATTAATAATTATATTCATATTACTATATAAATTTAAAATCAATGTGATTTTTGATATTGTATTTATTCTTTTACAGGCTTTTATTTTTTAATAAAATACTTGTGATCTGAAAACCAATACTAGTATTATAATTCAGGAAAATGAATTGTGCTATGCATATTATTGAATATGTACATTTATAGCATGAAAATTTGTAAATTACTTTTTAAGAAGTTTTACAAAAGAGTAGACTAATACATAATAATAAAAGGAAAGACCTAAAAAAAGTTCTTTTTTTTTAAATTTCAGCCAGCCAAAATGTTGGCCGTTTGATGACTTTGATCTACCGAAGAGTCAAAATGTTGGCCGTTTGATTACTGCTACTTCCTCACCAAGGTTGCTGCAGAAAGCTGCCCAGCTGCTGACAAGCTGGGACCCGCGTCAGGCAGCTGGTCTTTTGTCTGGATGGTCAGCACGCAGGGAGTGGATAGCCCCACCTCAAAGAGTCTCTTGCTCCCACTTTAGCTTTCCCAAATCAATTTTGCTATAGGTACCCCATATTTACCTCATTTCCTACCCCATATAAATACCTCATTTTTTACCATCCCTTTTACCCTCTTTCCAAAAACCCTTCCCCCCTCCCCCACTTTTCTTCTTCTTCCCTCTCTCTCTCTTCTCCATCTTTTCTTTTCACGCAGCCCCCCTCATCCCCTCCCCTTTCTTTTTCTTTTCTCTAAAACTTGATTTCTTCTCCATTTCAAGATCTCTTCCCATTAAGTCTTCTCATTTTTACAATCTTTTCTCCCTCCAAGCTTCTTCTCTTGCTTCTCTCCTCTTCTGCCTTTTTTTCGTTTCAAATGGAAGAGCTACAATAATCGGACGAAGGGGAAAAGCTCGGTGACGTGGGGAGTTGTGTCTAAGGTAACCATCCCTTCTCAAATCATGAGTTACGTACTCCATTTATGATTTTTCTTCATGTGCGTTTTTTATTTTTATTTTTTCCTTTTTTCGATTTTATGTATATTATGTATGATATAAAAGTGAATAAATGATTATTTTGTTTCATTGTAATGATTTTGAGGTGTTACCTAATTAAAATTTTAGTGTAATTTCTCTATTTCATTTTATGCCCATAACATGTTTGTAGAAATTACTCAATGAAGTTTTTGTTGAAATTCAAGATTTTTTTTCCATTTTTTGTACCTCAATGTTTAATGAGTATTTTTATGGATTTCCAATTTAATATGATATAGTAATTTAATTGATGTTTGGGAAAAGAGTATGTTGTTTTTTTGTAATTTGTTTGTATTTTGTTTGGCGGACAGACAATTTAGAACTGCAGTGTCTGTCTAGCCTAAAGTGAACACGGTTTTGTCTTAAAGTCTGGGCCAATTAACTACTCTCTGTCTTATAGCCAGACAAATTTTGTCTGGTCCAGACATTAGTAGTCTGGGCCAATTAACTACGCTCTGTCTTACAGCCAGACAAATTTTGTCTGGGCCAGACATTAGTAGTCTGGGCCAATTGACTACTCTCTGTCTTACAGCCAGACAAATTTTGTCTGGGCCAGACATTAGTAGTCTTGGCCATTTAACTACTCTCTGTCTTACAGCCAGACAAATTTTGTCTGGGCCAGACATTAGTAGAGTGGGCCAATTAACTACTCTCTGTCTCACAGCCAGACAAAAGTTGGTTGTGCCAGACAACAGTTGTCTCGTCCAGACAAATTGATTATGCCTCACATATGTTATTTGTACCAAATATGTGTTCTGACTACGTGTTGTGTATTAATCGTAGGTATTCACTTCAAGATGACGAATGACTTCAAATGTAAGGCTGAAAAAGAGTTCCAAACGGACGCTAATTCATTTACAAAATTTATACCAAGTGTGACTTCTTTTGCAATGGAGAAATAAATGCAAGGATGCTGAAGTATATAGTGTTGGGGGAATGTGTCCGTTTTGAATTTGTGATTTTTTGAACATGTATTTTTTTCATATTACAGTTGGGAAAATGTGTTGAATATTGTACAATGTTACATGTTCAATGTTGAACAATTGGATTCAGCGGTATTGTCTGTATGTGTTGTATACTTATGTATGTTGATCTTTTGTTTGTCTGGTTATCTGTGGTATTGTCTGTATGTGTAAATTGTTTGTCTTTCTGCGTGAAAGTAATGTGTGTCTGGTTATCTGTGTTGTTTGTCTATCTAACGGTTGTGTTTCACCTATCATAGTCTATTTAGACTTATTTAAATTTCTTCTTTACTGGGGAACTCCATACCAACACATACAATATTATACATGTTTGGTTTTCACCAAATTCATTTGTACATTAACAAATACAATCATATCTCCGAACACTTTTATATAACCACATTAACAATTACTAAACTCATCAAAATGTACTATAAAATAACTGAACTCGTTAAAACAACCCACAAATATACATTCCCACATCAATAACAACAATTCCTATGCTTCCTCCACCTTGTTCCACATATTTGCATACTCGCAACCTGGAATCAATGACTTTTCCATTTACAGGTGCTCTGCAAAGGAAGCCAACTCTTTTATAAAGGCCAGACATTTTATATCACATTACAGACAATTTGTTGCAATACATATGTAGACAGACAGACTATTTTCACATTACATACAACTTAAATAGAATGCCAGACAACGCTTTTCACATACAGACAACTACAAATCAATTTTAAAGAATTCATTTCACATTACAGACAAATCAAATGGAATGCCAGACAACTCTTTTCACTTCATAGACAACTACAAACCAATTTTCAACATCCGAAGAGAGACATCACAAAAGTCATCACACGTACTATAAAATACATTTGTAAAATAAGAAGATGTGCATACATACAATTGCTCTATGTACTCAAACAAATAAATTTGTCTGTCCAGATAGACATCTTATGTAAGACTCTAACAATTATGAAACCATGCTCAGCTAGACAGACGCTGCACTTCAAATTTGTCTGTCAGACAGACAACCCCTTTTCATGTGGAGTTGGACGAAAAATACCAAAAAAATGAGGAAAAAATAGCAAAATGACGAAACAGTGCCTCACATGACGGATGGGACTTCCACCGGCCTCTACCGCCAGAGATATGAGGCGCTGGGCCGTGCTTCGATTTATGGAGGATTTCAGATCGGCGAGCGTTGAGGAGAGGGGTTCGTGGGGGTGAGGACGGGGGTTGGTTGTTTCGTGGGGGCCATGACGACGGTTGGTTGTTTCGTGGGAGCCAGGACAGCGGTTGTGGAGGATGGGTTAGGAACTGTTGAGGTTGGTGCGGGAAGGGAGTTCTTGGAAAGTTGCTGGGGAAGGAAAACGGTGGGAGGAGTGGGAGATTTGGAAGTGGAGATGAGGGGGAAGGTTGTGGGGAGGTGAGGGAGGGGAGGTGAAGTGAGGGGGTAAATTTTTTAGAAGGTATTTATATGGGGTATAAAATGGGGTAAGATTGGGGTACCTATAGCAAAATTGTTCCCAAATATATGGGTTGTTGTTTTTTGGTGAATAGATTAAATTTAGAGTTTTGCTAGGAGTACCCCAAAATGTACCCCATTTTTACCCCAACTCCTAATGTGTGGTCATAAATGGGCCAATTCATTTAAGTGGTGTCCCACTTAAATGAATTGCCCTATTTATGACCACACATTAGAGGGTGGGGGTAAACATGGGGTACATTTTGGGGTACCTTTAGCATTTGTGTTAAATTTAATCTATTCATAAATGAATAGCCCTATTCATTATTGCAGCCTTAAGCAATAATAAAGCTGGAAAACCATTATAATAATTACATCATAGTACAGTACAATTTTCATAGCCCAATGACACCATTTCTAGCAATTGGTCCTCGCTAGTGACACTGACGACCCGTTTAATATTAACATTCTGATTAATGACATCGTTGCCCTTGGCCAGTGACATAGTTAAAAATGCGGTGGCTTTATTATAAATAGGAAAAATTTGAAAATAATAATCTCAATATTATCGGTCCGCTAACAATAATCTCAATTATTGATTATTTTTTATAATCCCAACTATATGGACCGTCCACCAATAATGTGATCTATGACTGCATATTATCTGCTCTAACAAGTGAATTTTTAATAGAAATTAAGCGTAAAAATTAAAATTTGGGATTATTTATAAGGATTACCTGCTATATCTCTTTAGAAACTATAAGAATTTATTTATAGTCGGTCACGTCGGACCATTATTGGCCGAAGGTCCCTAAAGTTGGGATTATTCTGAAATAATCGATAGTTGATATTATTATGAGCGGGCCGCCAATAGTTGGGATTATTACAATCAACTTTTCCTTATAATTATTATGGAAAAAATAATGATAATAGAATAATAAAGACGTAATAAAAATGTATAAGTGCCCAATATTTTAATAAAAGTGCATTGCAATGTGATATAAATGTGAAAAAAGTCGGAGACAACCATTTTTTATATATAAATGAAATGCACTTATTCAATAGCAAAATTCACTTTTGTCATTATACATTACACATTTGACTTGCACGTACTTACTATTGAGTGATAGCATCGATTTATTCTTACTTTTCATTCGAAGACTTCTTTTTATTTGAATGGTCTGCAGATTAAAAGTGTTACTGATTTGGAAAATCTTTCATTCTAAAACTTTGATGGAAGTGGAAGATAAATGATTCTCTAACATGACCCTTAAGATTACTGATTCTCCTATATGTATGGAGAAGATTTCGGTCTATCAATCAAATGGGAGAAGAACCGACCACACTAGATTATGAAGGGGAATCCTCATTGGCTTCCAAAAACATGTCACTTTACCCTTCAATCTGCTTTAAATGAAGTCAGAATCACTCAAACACCTACACTCTCTTTCAAACACACATGACATTTATAACAACATATGAAAATCAAATTTCTTCTGAGGTTTTTTTTTCATAAAATACTTTCTATACCAGAAAACTTGATCATGTTTCTTCTATATGCCCTTTTTGAAAGCAATCAGGTTGCCTACATGCATCAACCATATACTGCAATTATTTCATGGGGGCTTTTCAAATTCCTACACCAAATTTTGAAAGTTCTATTGGATGAATATATTTCTCATGGTGATTGGAAGCGAGCGGGGTAAAAGAAAAATTAGAAAATGTGTTTAAACATAATCTCCCAAGTATTATCTCTCGACACATTTTGGAAAAACTACACTGACTACACATGGAACAATTCCAAGAGTGTATTCTCATCTCAAAGAATCATTCATCAAATACTTAAAACTGCCTTCCCAAGCACTTTTCTCTTTCAAGGAAAATCCTATTCCTCAAGCTTTCATACACTTCCATCATAACTCATGATGGTAAGATGACTTGAATTTAATCATGCGCGGATCAGAATGGTGAATTGATCTTTGCTATGAAATTCCCAATCACTCCATCTTTGATCCTAGAGGGAGAGCTATAGTCCATTAATATGGTTGATGGATCGCTGAACCTGGGGTAGCCAAAATCCGAGAAATTTGAGGACAGAAAATTGCTAAGTAAGATCGAGTATAAAATTGAGCAGCGTAACAACAAGTTTGTACAGGGAATTTCGGATCCCTTTCCACAGACTGGAAGGTGATATTTATACTAAGAGAGAAATACTTGATCAATAAGTAAAAAAGATGTTATTCTGTTGTGGTGGAGACACGTGACGCACCTGTCTAACAGATCAAACAAACTAGTCTAATAATATAGTGACCCGTGTAAAGGTGGTTGGAGAGATAATTGGAACAACTGACTAATTGGTGTTGTATATAACTGATTTTGTTCTTTGTGCACCAAAACACACATGTGTGTCACACGTGTATTATTCCAGAATATTCTTATTCCGACCGTTGAGGTGACATGACTTTCGTATAACGTTGGTGACGTGGTTGTAGCTTACAATACTTGATCGCTGAAATGTCTAAGTCCATGCTTGGTTCACGAGATCCCGAGCTCCGTGAGGTCAGAGCTCGGGTACAGGACAAGGAATTCGTGTTTGGGGAATCCATTGATGCTCTTCAGTTAGTCCAATGGTGTTTATTTCTTCGCTCTTGTTGGCTTCCGTTGATCTCGTGTTCGTGTCTTAAGTCGTATCTGATACCGACCTCGGTGTGCTCGAGGTCAGGCTCATATTTTGCCTTATTTGTGTGATCCGCGAGCTCGATGTTTGCGCCAACCTCGGAGGATCGAGGTCGGCCTCGGCTTGAGTTCCATACTTTGTTGATTCGTTGTATTGTGTCGCGACCTGACCTCGTGCATCAAGGTTGGCCTCGGTTGAAGGCTCATACTTTGGTGTTGGGGTAACTCTGAGCCTTTGTCTACCGATTACAATACCCCTGGGGTATATGGGAATATACTCCATCAATGGCTATTGTAATACCCGAGATTAATTTAAGAGGATTAATAGCACTACTCATACCAACAAAGGTGTATCTCTTTTTAAGGGAGCTCATCACCCAAGAACTCCAAAATTATGCGTGTTTGCACGTCATTAGAGGTATGGAGTAACTACCTCGGGTCCTGCGGGGCGGAAGTGTTACATGTGGTATCATAGCAACCCTGCGACAGTGTGCTAACCCGTTGGATATCGAGCAGGCACTTAGCGGGACAAGATTCTGGGATTTGATTGAGATTGTTAAGGGCGCAACGAGAATGTTGCGATCCGAAGTGCGGTGATAGCAATACCCGAGATTAATTTATGAAGATTAATAGTACTACTCATACCAATAGAGGTGCATCTCCTTTTAAGGAGCTCATCACCCAAGAACTCCAAAGTTAAGCGTGCTTGCAACCCCCTGGGAAGTTTCTCAGGGCGCGCATGAGTGAGAACAAAGTGCGTGGTAAAGGCTCGTGGTGGTTTGTGGGGACAATACTAGAGGTCTAGAGTAACTACCTCAGGTCCTGCGAGGCTGGGGTGTTACAGCTCTTCCTTGGGAAACACATGCAAGGTACTCCATAGAAAACCGATTCTTTAAGGGCCTGTGTTGGTTTGGGGTAATCTCACATGAAAACCAGAATGTGATGCAAGAAATGTTAGGTGCTCATGTTTGGTTCGCGAGGTTGTAAAAAAATCAAGAAAGTTGCATTTTCAGGGATGTAATATGGAAGGGAATGTCAA